AATATTAATAGTTCATGAAGAAATAAACGAGTACAATGAGATGGGGAAAAAAACAACATGTGAATTATTAATCCCTTTCGCAAAGTTATAAAACTAAAAAATAGTACGACTTGACAACTGGTGAGAAACAATTGAAAATTTTAATCATTATTATCTTTAGGTACATAGAGTGGGAAAAAAAACATTATACTACAAAAAGCTACACAACAATGAAATTAAAACCTAAAACAAACATAAACGATGGGAAAGAAAACAATAATAGTATATGAGTGGGCAATTGTATTATGAACGAATAATAAAAGGAGTACACAATAAAATAAGTGGCAATGGATTAACATATGGGAGTTTCACTAAAACACCCAAAATGGAGGTTGAAATTATAAAAAAAACCCAACACTCAAAACACTTTATAAACACACCTAAAACCCATCATTACACACACTCAAACCCCATTTATAAACACACCAAAAAAGTTGACTTTGGGGTTGATTTTGGGTGTGTTTCTATGTTTAATAGTGCTTGAGTTTTTTTATAAATACATGTTTAGGATTGGGTTTATTTATAAATTATGCACAATATGTGCATTAATAAAATCCACGTTAAATAGGAATTTGTACAAATCAAGCATGTTTCGACATTTACATTCAAAATGTAATTATTCCTTTAATTACATGATCAAATATGATCATTAATGGCCTATAAATCCTCATCTTACCCGTTTTATACAATAGGGATATAATAGGAACAAAAAATTTAAATACAAATCAGTTAAATACAAAAGATTGAGTCAGCATGTCAAAAATGGAATGTAATATACATGGCAAACTAGTCAAAGGACTTGTATCAACAAACAATTATTCAAGGAGTAGACCCAACTATTAGTTGGATTTTTGGACCTCTATCAACTTTTCTATATGTAGAAAGCCAAGATTGAAAGGGACAATGATTGGACCTGTTTTCTTTGCAAATAGCCAAAACACTAGACATTTGCCTTACGAAAATCAAGTTCTACACCAACTTTCCATGAAGTATTCCCCTAATCAGCAGGTGCATTGGTTGCGTCAAAACAGGGCACCTTCTATAATGCACCAGGTGCCCCCGGTGGACTATTTGTCCTTTATGATTTTTTAAGATTTAAAAAAAATATTAGTTACCGATTATACAAGTTGTCAAGTTTCCACTTTTTGTTAATATTTAATGGAAATGCAATTGCGTAAGGGTCATGCAATTATGTCCTTCATGTTTGGCAACTGACATATGATTTGACATGTTATTTTTCAATTGAGTTTATTCTTTTGGACTCGCAATGATATGCTTATGAATTGCGCAATGGTATTTGTTTACTTTTATAAATGTAAAGTTACCGTTTTAGATTCTTATTTTATGAGAACTGTTTGACTTTTTTTTTCTTCTGATTTCGATATGTCACCTCATTGTAGCTTTACTCAAGTTCATTATGAGTTGTTGGTTTTATTTGTATGAGTTATGATGGCTAGTTGTGGTTAATTCCTCTGTATTTTATGCCTAGTTTTTAAAAATCAATTGAGGTTGATAGTTTTAATTTTTTGTTTCTTTTGTTTCATAGAATTGGTGAATGCGCATAAATATTTATTTGAGAGTTAAAAGTCTTTATCCATCAAATTTTTTCACCTCAAGTTTTGTCTATGTAATTGGTTGAAATCAATTTCTAAAATAAGAACTATATTACTTGTTGAACTCTATGTTACATGGTTGTACTTTTGTAGACATCCACGAAGTATTATAAATTTATATTCTTTTCCTAACATAGCCATGGATTTTATAGTACATTATTAGGATTAAAAGTCAAGAAAAACAATTATAGAAGTAGAAAGTTTACAAGTTTTCTCTTAGATTACAAGATTTTCAATTGTGTTTACAAGGATAATGACATAATTTTACTCCTCAAAGTCCATTCTTACCTTGGTACTATGTGTCATTTTCTTTATAAATTAGGGTATTACAGTGTTATGGATTAGGGTGGACCATCATGTTGTTACAATTATTTCAATTATTTCACAACATTTGCATATTTTTTTCATGATTCATGAGTTAGGGGTTGCTTTATATAACTTGTAACCAAAATCAATAAAAGTTGGGTAACTTTATATAAATCCAATTGGCCAAACTGAAATTGGTTTTTTTTACTTGTAACCAAAAACAATTTTTGAACATCTAAACTATTCTTTTTGATTTGTTATTTCTTAATAAATTATTATAAGGAACTAAAATATGACTACATAGATAACTCGTTTACATGTTTAATATCAATCAATGATAAGATGTTCAACTTTTAAGACATAATATCAATAATATACTCTTATATTATAATAAATATTATATGACCATACTCTGAAGCCACACTATAATTACTTCTCAAGACATATTGTTATTATATATATATATATATTCGTGCTTATTCTAAAAATAACTTAGCGATGTAAAATGAGTCATTATTCTAGTAAAAAATGTTTTACAAGATTAAGGACTGAGGGTACCATAAGAGAATCCCTAAACTCGTAACTTACAAGTTTTTATAATAATTTACAAGGTTTTGCTCTTAGATTACGACGTTAAGATTCGACAAATCCATAATGTTAATCATATATTTACAAGGATATGGATCCATATTACAAAGGATTGGTAATAGTGGACATTAGGGATGTAAATTGGGTCCTTATTCTAGTAAATAATGGTTAATGATGGATTTTACAATCTTATGGAACATAAATGTCCAAAATAGAGTAATACGAGACCTTAATATTGTAAACATTTGTGTTTACAAGTATAAGGACCTAATTTACTTTCCTAATGCCCCTAGTTACCTTAATATGGTACTAGATGTCTTTATCTTTGTAAATTATGATATTACAAGATTAAGGATGGGTTTACAATCTTACGGAACATAGATGTCCAACATAGAGCAATCCGAGACCTTAATATTGTAAACATCTGAGTTTACTAGTATAAGGACCCATTTACTTTCCTAATGTCCCAAGTTACCTTAATATTGTACTAGATGTCTTTATCTTTGTAAATTACGATATTACAAGATTAAGGATGGGTTTTACAGTCTTATGGAACACAGTTGTTCAACATAGAGTAATACGATACCTTAATATTGTAAACATCCGTGTTTACAAGTATAAGGACCCAATTTACTTTCCTAATGTCCCAAGTTACCTTAATATTGTACTAGATGTCTTTATCTTTGTAAATTATGATATTACAAGATTAAGGATGGGTTTTACAATCTTATGGAACACAGCTGTCCAACATAGAGTAATATGATACCTTAATATTGTAAACATCCATGTTTACAAGTATAAGGACACAATTTACTTTCCTAATGTCCCAAGTTACCTTAATATTGTACTAGATGTCTTTATCTTTGTAAATTATGATATTACAAGATTAAGGATGGATTTTACAATCTTATGGAATACAACTGTCCAATATATAGTAATAGGATACCTTAATATTGTGAACATTCGTGTTTACAAGTATAAGGACCCAATTTACCTTTCGAATGTTTCACTTTATCTTAATATTGTACTAGATATCATTATGTTTGTTAAGCTCATAATTTCATACATATACATGCCCTATTTACTTACTTCTTTTGCTTAGTTTCTTAGAATTCTGAGTTATTTGCCTCTCTTTGTGTGTTTTGTAGGCCAATAGAGCAAGAGAGCATAATTCATGCAATTCAAGCATGTTAAGGCTTGATTTGGATGAATGGAAGAATTGCTTAAAGACAAACAAATTTTGGCTACAACCCCCTACCAGTCCAGTTTCGTAGGTCACATTGCAAGCTTTGTTTTAGCAATCTACACAGCTTGGATGAGGCAGAATTTTTCATGAAAGTTGTTCCAATGGGTGTGTTCTATAACATATCGAAAATTCAGCCTCATTGAATAAATCTGGAGTCCGTCACCTAGCAAACACAGAACTATGATCAAGATGGATTTTGTCAGCGAGCAAAACGAGTGAGCAATTTGTTTTGACCTTAACTTCTTCCTCCGACCTTGGATTGGCCCAATGACAATGGCTGGAAAGAAGACATTTTGAACTTCAAGTTTGAGGGCTCAAAGTCACCATTTGCTTAAGGGAAGCCCAATTCGTAAGCTCTTGAAGTTGCTGGTCATGTTGACCTAAGGATAAGCTAAGTGTGCTTGGTCATAATGACATAAGCATGAAGTGTTATTGATTGTGGGGAAGTTAGGACAAACATATGCAATTCTTATATTTGGAGTGGAGTTTTGCAGCAAGCAAATGGAATAAAACAAGATGAAGTGGGAGCTGCAACACTAAGCCTAAAGAGAAGAAGAATTGTTTTCAAATATTGCAAGTGTGTTTTAGGTGAAATAGGTGTGAGTGAATTTATTGTATAATCTGATTTGCCTAACCCATGTGATTATATATAGAGAGTCTCCAAAGAGCTAAGTAGTCAGAAAATAGATATCCATCATTCACACTTACATTGTACACAAAGAGAGGGAAAGTTGAGTCACAAAGGGAGAGAAGAGAGAAGGCAGCAGCTGGGAGGCTTTGGCCTCCTAGCAGCCATGGAGATGAAGCTTTTCCATCTCTAGCATGTTGTACTTATCTTCTTCTCCTCCCTTTGTCTTTTATTTTTTTTCTTGTATTTTCTTTGTTTTTTTGTTATTAGTTTTGATAAACATCTTACTAGTCTTGTATCATGGTTTGAGTTTATAAAGTTTGGCTTCATTCATGAATTCTTCTTCACTATTTTAATGGAGCTGTTTTTGCATCCATTGATTGATCACCTAAGGTTTTATGCATATGTTCTTGTTGGGAAGGTTTGGGAATCATCTTCATTCTATCCATTAGTGATCGGTGCATATTTATATATCATTTTGTACCCTTCTAACTTATGATTTGGTTATGTTTTTGAGTTAAACTTGTGCTTTTAATAAGTTTTGTGTTTGTTTCAGTGTAATAAGCTTGAGACTCATTAAATGCATTTTGGAGACAAATTAGCCCAAAACGGTGTCTGCAGATCAGTCAACTTCACCGATTGGACTGTACTTGCTCAAGAAGAACCAGATAGTGAGCCATACATCATTGGAAAGATACGGAAGTCTAGTTTCAGGAGCATTTTACGGTTCATGATTCCGAGTCTTTTAGAGGAAGTTATGCAAGTTTTGGCAGCTTAAGGTCAAAATCAGCAGCATTTGAGTTACTGGGCCAAAAATGACATTTGAAGGTCTTCCCGATTTTTCCTTGTGCTGGGCTGCATATTCTTGGAAAGATAAGACAAAGAGCTTCACGATTCATATTTTTCCAGAATTTTATGAATGGATTAACAAGCTCAAAACGAGCCCAAAAGAAGAGTGCAATGCATTGTCATGCATGACATATGTATGATGAAGTGTTATTGATTGTGGGAAAGTTTGGTGAAGCAGATTCAATACTTATAATTGGAGTGGAGTTTTGAAGCAGCCAAATGAAGTAAAAGAAGATGAAGTAAAAGAAGATGAAGTGGAAGATGCAACACTAAGCTTAAAGACAAGAAGAATTGTTTTCAAATGCAATTGTATGTTAGGGGAAGTTGGTGAATTAAGTGTTGTAAGTTGATGAAGTGAGTGTTGTAGGTAGAAGCAATACTTAATTCAGAATTTCAACTCCCCTAAGCCTATAAATAGTGAGTTCTCCAAGCTTGTAAACACACCCCAAGGGGGGGAGCTCTCAAACACTTCTCTAGAGCTCCCCTCCCTTCTCTCCCTCAAATTCTCTTAGTTTTCCTTTCTAGTTCTCAATTGTTGTAATAAAATCCTTTTGCTAAATGTTTCTTTAAGTTTTTCTGAGTTCTTATTTACTTTCCATTGTGATGTAAATTCTTCTCTTAAGCATTTAAGTTTGATTAGTTTCCAGGTTTCAATTATGGTTTTTGTTCTTATTCATTATGCTTATAAAATAATATGCTAGTTTGAATATTGATCACCATTAAGGCTTGCATGTTCGCTATCTTGGTTTGAATTAAGAGTAGACATCATGTTTTAATTCGAATTGAACTATGAATAGGAAAAGTATGTATGAACATTCGACAACAGAGATTAGATACATACTTGAACCAAATCCCACCCCCCCCACCCCCCCCCCAACCCCCCCCCCCCCCCCCCCCCCCCCCCCCATGTGTGTGTGTTTGTGTTTGTTTGTAACATTCTGTGTTTTCTTCATTGGATTCTATTTATTTCCGTAATTGTTTTTGGAATTTGGTCCATGCGAGTTCTTTGTTTTTCTGTGCTGAATCCAATCATATAAAGGACGTAAAATTTGGTCAAACGATTGGAAAATTATAGGTCAAAAACCAGACAGAGGTCGAACTTGCTGTTTGTGGTTTTCTTTGGTTTCTTGTTTTGTTTCATTTTCTTTTACCTTTCTTTACTCATTTTTAGTTTTCAATTTGCATTGTGCTTTTGTCTTGTGTTAAATAGGTTCTTTATGTATTCAAACTAGAACTTTTAATAAACTGACAGTTCTTCGTGAGATCGGCCCCGTACTTACAGAATCTATACCCCAATGGATTCGTGCACTTACGGGTATTTTTAATTGGATGATTAGCACATTTATTTGTGCCAATTATTAAATACAAAACAATGAAGTTTAAACAACTAGACATTTAGGCTGAGTGTCGTGGCTTTTCAACACACGTACTTACGTCTCCTTGCCAACATAGAAAATTCTACACTTACTGAATTTTTTACCGCTGTTTGTCAAAGAGGTATGTTTCCATGAAAGAAGTCTGTCAACTCAGTCAAGACAAGCAAACCATAAACCAAGCACAAAGAAAGGAACAGAAAAGACTTCCTACGCTCATTTTTGTAACCACTGAAGAAAAAGAGGCCAAGGATGAAGAATCCTACCTCACATGCCAACACCATCACCATAAAAATAGAGAGATTATTTTCTTAGCCAACAATTGAGATATGCAGAAAAAAGGTATACATTTGCAGTCTGCCACTTAGTCCAGAGAAACATGTGTACATGTTCCACCACACAGGTGGCAGAACAGAACCTATAAAACACGAGCACTCAAAAGCACAAATCAAATTCAAATGAAAGCCATGCATCTCAATTTATATTCTCATTTTCCTCACCAATGTCGACAACAATGTCAGCGCCATAATCAAATACTTCCTTAAAGCATTTCCACAGATGGCCTTATTTAGAAACCAGCCCATCCAGCAGGTTGAGAAGCTGGCTTGCTCTCCATAACCTTTGCCTCGCCAAAGCGCTGAGAATTATTTCCTTCACCCATAGGTCTTGAAATCTGTGTGCTTCCAGTGGGCACAGCAGTAAAACTCTCTGCTCCAAAACCCCACGAGTCAAAACCGGTATTTACTTGAGTGGTCTGCTTGTTCTGGTGACCGTTTCTTGTCCTGACAGATTTTCATGGTGTTATCTGTTGAAGAAGGCTGCTGTGATTTGGGTTCCTCTACAAATGGCTGCCATGGGTTTGGTTCTGGACTCGGAGTACTCCTGTCAGATTTTCCTTGCTCCCAAAAGCTTCCTTCAATCTTCTCCCTCTGCTGCAGAAAACAATTAATTCTACCAATAATTAAAGAGATAATAAAGAGGGAACAATTGAAAGTCAAACAGTTGTAAGATTTGCACACAAATTACTTATTGAGAATACCAGAGGATTTGCAGATGGCAGATTTCCAGGTGAAGTTTGATTTCTAGATGCATCTTTATTTGGTGATGGTGTTCTAGCAGCAAGCGTCTGCTTAAGCTCCTGTAACTCCTGCCTTTGAGATCGGCAGATGGCAGATAGCTTTTCAAATTTGGAAGTTATTTCACCCTTTTCCAAATTGGCTTGCTTCAGCTGCTCTTTCAATCTCTCTACTTCAGCCTTTAATGCTTCTTCTTTTCCAGATTTGTTATTACTAGCTCCCATGCTGAGTCTTTTAGTATCAAACTCTGCAACAAAAGAGTTAAATGCTTCATCTTGGAAACCAGTTGCACTCTGAGATTTAGATGCCTTTGGCTTTTCAGTTCCATGGTCTGTATCCTTTGGGAAGAAACTTATTTCAAAGTCCTTTGAAGGTCCATCTTCAGGCTTGTGCGATTTGCCATGAGAGTTTCTTCGTGTAGCATGAGTTTGTGCATTTTCCTCTTTTGCAGGGGCACTGTTCTTGGATATAGGATGAATTTCCAGACGAATCCCATCAAGTTTTTCAGTGTAATGGCCAGCAGGCTCATCATCAAACTTAGGTATAGTATTTTCTTCAACAAGTGAGTTATCTGCATGTTGAGTGGACCAGAATGCACCAAGCTGCCCTCCACTTCCCCCTGCCTTAGACGTATTTGACAATTGTGTTGAATTTCTAGCTGATTCTCCAACTGAAGTTGGTGGTGGTGGTGGGCTTCTACGGGGCCCTGCAGGTGACTTGTTTGCCGGCCTTGAAATACCTGCTGGTTTGCAATAAAGCACTCACTCACTTCAAAACTGAAAGCTTCGAACATCAATTTTATTTAATTAAATATTATCAATTTTCTACTCTTAACAAATTTCCATAAACTAGCAACATCACTTTTAAAACTGATAGATCTGACAGGAAGAAAAAGCTAGAAACAAAGGTTTAAGTGTCAAAGACAACAGAAACCAGCATGTCAAGCACTTCTTAGAATTAAAGTTCTGACATAAGGAACAAATAAAAAATTAGTCCCAAACAAAGAAGTTTTAGTTAACAAGTGATCCTCTGATGTTCCCAACCTCACCTTCATGCTTTTCAGCAGAGTTCATTTCAGCTTGCCTATCCGGTAAAGACTTCTGCAAACCAACTGGTAACTGCTCATTAACACGAAACCACACCTGCCACCACAGAAGGGTTGGAAAAGCATCAGTAAAGAGTGTTAGAATCTCCACACCTACTGTTTGCATGGACACAAATGATCTAAAACTAACCTAAATTCATGGAGATGAATGGCCAATCAAGCAAAGCGCTTGCCTGCGTGATGTCTGGTCGGTCATCTGGTGACGACTGAAGCATGTCTCTGATAAGATCTGTGATAAACGAGCTGTATTTAGGTAATTCTGGAATGCGATAGTTTCCATTTAAGATCTGCAGCTTTGATTCTCCATCAAATGCACTTTTGAAGTAGCAAATGCGAAAGAGAAGGCACCCAAGAGCCTGCAAGAAGAAATCATAGTCTCAACTCCCAGTAAATTATAATATTCAACTGTTTCAGAATTTCCAACTGATCTAGAGGAACCAATCAACTTACCCATATGTCTACTTTCTCATTTATAAGTTCTCTCCGAAAAAGGTCCCACATCTAATTCAAAAGGAGGAAGAAATGAATCAAATATTTTAACAGATTGAAGATTATACATTCAAGTTTGAAAATAAAGTTTTCTGTTCAACCTCAGGGGCTCTATAGGCAGGTGTAGTGTGCTTTCTGATATTATCCTCTTCAATACCCATTTCTTCAGGCCTCTCAAAGCGCTTGTGATTGGTAGAGATGCTTCCAAAATCACACAACTTCCACAAACCATCAGACCCCAACAGAAGATTCTCAGCTTTCAAATCCCTGAAAATGCAATTAGGACACTGAGTACCAACTATTAATAGTTGACTGGGAAGCACGTGAATAAAAAAATTGTAATTAATAAGATAATGGATTTATCAGGTTTCTAATCTTTTGGTACAAATTCAGATTTTGATTTGATTGTTCAGATCTCGTCTCATTTTCGTCTTACATGGGATTAAAATAGATTGCAATTGAAAAACATTGTAAGATAATACGAGCATCAAAGACAACGAGTTGTTAATGCTTCTGATTGAGAAAACAATTTAAAACAAACACAAAAAAATACAAATAACAAAACATAATCTGCAGAAAGATGATAAACAATAAAATGCAAAGTGCGCAATGTAAGTACCTATGAGCAATGGGAGGGGACTGAGAGTGCATTGCAAAAACTGCATTGCACACATCTCTGAAGATCGCAAGAGCCTGTTTCTCATCAAAGAACCCAGCTCCTCTGCTCTCCAGTACATTAACCAAAGACTTGTCACAAAACTCCATGACAAGGAGTGCCTCCTTTGTGCGGCCCATGTCCAAGAAGGTGTGGGCATGGAGTGTGACCACATTGGGATGTCCTCTAAGCAACTTCATGACCGAGATCTCTTTCATCACCAGCTCCAGCATCTCCTCATCATTACATATGATGTGCTTCAAAGCGTACTGCTTGGACACATGCACAGCGTCCCGAGCTAAGTAAACGCAAGAGAACCCACCTTCGGCAATGGCGTTCTTGACATGAATCTTGAGATTTCCAATGTCAATGGAGCGGCCTTCGAGCCCAGTTGGCTCCTTGTGCATGAAAGGCTTGAATCTCCACATGATCAATGGATTGATTGATGGGTACAAACAAATACAATGAAGACCAAAACACTGCAAAGAAATAGCCAATAGCATACATATCAATCAAACAAATCCCATTACAGATAATCACGTAATTATCTCAGCATCTCATCTAAATTGCAAATCGACTACTCTTTCACTTTGAAGATAAAATTGATTTCATATTTTATTCAAATGAACGATAACCTTGATTAAACTGAACCTAGAAAATCCACAATCCCGCGAACCAAACAAAGATGAAGCAGGACCCAGAAAAGCAAAGTAAAAAAGCAAATGAATGGATCTGAAGCCTACGAAAATGATCAAATTCGGAGATTCAGATCTGAAGAATGAAGCTGAAGCAAACACAATAATCAATACAAATGCAAATGAAAATGAAAAGGCAGCTGCAGATGTAGAGGGTTGTACTGTACCTCGAGGCTTGGGGTATGAGATTGGGGATGGGGAATTGCGGTTTGAAGCTTCAGAGATCTAAGATCAAGAGCTTACGTGCTGATCCAGACTCTGTATCTCTCTGAAAGAGCCTTTTGTCCAATTTCTTATATAATTCAAAGAAAAAGACATCAAGATTATCATATAATAATCAAAGTAAATGGAAAAAATAGGTGGAGATTGGAGAGAGAAATCAAGGTGGTGGGGATGTGCAAAATAGCAGCCCCTGCCCCTGGGCTAGATTGTCTGCTTATGCTGTAGGACTCAGTCTAAATCATACCATTGGTAAATTTCAGTTTTGGGAGTTGACGGTTTGGATGTAGTGATGTTCCATACGCGTAAGATGGTCTTGTGCTTTCGGTGGGGTTACCGTGAGACTTTTCTGCTAAGTTCTAAAGCTTCGATAAAAATAAAAAACACTTCTATGGCTAGTTTGGTATTACTTTGCTTTTTTACTAAGTTTTAAAATTGGTAGATTCTAGTTTATTGTGAACATGTTTATTTATCATAAATGGATATTGGAATGATCTTAATTCTTGCTTTTTGTGTGTTTATTATTAACACAAGGGTATTGCAATTATTCTAATTTCTCACTTTCTCCACATTTACTAACGTATAAGGAATAAAAAATTTATGTGATTTCAACAAATAAAATCCATTCATTTATCCTTAATAAAGAAGACTTGTTGGTACAACACTATGGGTTTAGCCAGTATGAGTTTATGACTCTTTTTGGGTTGGCTGGAGGATATTGGATCGGTGGCCCTATTTCTTAGTTTGTTATCGTTTAATAAAAGCCCTAAACCAGGAGGGTCCCAACCAAACGAAAATTACACAACAAGCACAAAGGCCAGAATAAGTGAGCCAACAATAACACACAATACATCCACCTCACTAGAATCGCATACAACGATAAAATGCAGAGTAATTACAACAAAAATTATCAGTGCCAACCAGAACCTAGCAACTCAGGCAAATCACTACCAACTTGAGAAAGAGACAACATCACGAAGAGAATGAGGATGACCACTCAAAATCCTCCCAACACTCAGCCAAGCATCAAAGCACTCTTCCTTCTCCACCAGGTCCAAAACACCAACCTTTGAAAACTTCCAATTTTGCAAACGGATTCTTCTCCATAAAACCTCAATCCTCAAAATAGAAAAATCCCTTGGCATAAAAGTATATATGCTTCAGATCTAGTAGGATCTCCAACAGATTAAAGAATATCTATAGAGATCCAAGTCAGATCTAAGGAACAAGAAGATAAAACCAAGAGATAATTACCCAATAAAGAGAGGAAATGGGAAAGAATTGGCACAAGAGCCAGTGAAACAAACCCTAGAACAAACTAGGGAGAACCCAAAAACCTTGGCAAAAGCAAGGACAAGAAAAAATCCAACACAAAAGCTGGAGGGGAAAAACTCTCTACAACATAACGGGAGGGGGGGAGAAGAGTCTAGAAATCAAAGATTTCTTATTTTTCCAATAGGGTCCAAGGAAAATCATTGTTTCCCTCTTTTCAGCTGAGGTGGCCAATGGAAGGAACTTTTGGTCCTTCTTCTTTTGGATTGCGAAGGCGTGCCACTACCAAGCCATTGATTGTTCTGAAAGGAAAAAGTTGGATTGTTGTGTTCGCGCTTCTGACTTCCAACCAGCCGATTGATTGGCCAAGCAAGGAACCTCCTCTTGGCCTAGGTTCTTTTACTTCCTCAGGGTCGAGGATGGTTAGGTTTCATATGGGTATTTTTGTATTTTTGAGATTTTAATGATAATGATGCAAATTGAATTAAAAGATGCAATTAAACTTAAAGACAAGAATTAAAGTGCGGTAAAGTAAATCAAAGCAATAGATAAACGTGAGTTAAACGAAGAACAAAATAAGAACGATATAAATGATAAAGGCAATAAAACAAAGCAATCTGAAATAAAATTAAACTTAAAGAAAATTTGATAGCAATTGAAAGTAAAGTGATAAACTAGAATCTTAAAATAACGTAATGGAAAATGCAAGAAATTAAACTTACACTAATGAAACTGAAGAACTGATCTAGTCTACTTGCTTGAAAAATAAAAACCTAGTCTAGTGATAGAAAAGTGAAAGACAAAAAGTAGGTTTTTGTGTCTAATGTCTGGTCCTTTGCTCTTTGTCTAATGTAGTTTATATAGGGGTATTTGTTAGCCCATGTGCTGGCCATTAAATAGCCAAAGGTCAACTTTGTTCAAAATCTTGTGTGGCTTCCTAAATTCGCGGAATTAATTTGAATGAGATCATTGGATTGCAAATCTGATCACTTGATTCTCTCCTCCTTAGGAATATTCCAGATTGACATCACTCTCTTTGATTGCTTTCCTTAGATGGATCTCATCACGTGCATGAAAACATCTGGAGGTTTTGGGCCTGTTTTCGCGGGTCAGGGTTGGACCTCCGAGGACTTGGGCTTAACAGCTGGTGAGACGATGTGGTTTCCGGAGTCTCTAATTTTGATTGAACATAATCCACCGATGTTGGGTGACTTGGAATTTCAATGAGTCCACCCAAGAAACTTGGGCAAGGTCTACATGATTTCTTAGTTTTCAATATTAATACATATATATATATATGTGACAAAATAATTATATGTTAAGATGCCAATATTGCCATATATATTTATACATTTATATATTTAAATAGAGAAAGAGAGTTCGTAGGCCACTTAGTTGGCCTTTAATTCTTGTCTCCAACCTCGTAGGCCATAGGCCTTATACATATATAAAGTATAATATATACTGCCCACAGCCATTTTAAAACCCATGCCAATTTGACCCAAGTTTGAGAATACCAAGGTAAACCCATGTGGGTTCTCTCATGCCAAAAACCAACTTTTTAGCTAAGACTTCCATTCTCTAGCCAACTCACCGACATGGGAAGCCAAGACCTTGACTTGGTTTCAACCAACTATTTGGCCATTCTCATAGCTAACTTTTTAAAAGCCACTCCCTCAGCTAAGTTCAAAACGTCAATTGGTTTAATATATATAGGAATTCGCAATCTGATCAGCATAAAGGTTGGCTATTTGAATAGCCAACTATTCAACTCAAAAAACAAACATCAGCGTATGGGCCAACCTTGGCCTCCTTGATATCACACAAGGATTGGAAACTCAACAACTAAGCACTGCAATAGCGAGGGGGTAGCCAAGCAGCAGCTTTTTATGGACGACCAACAAACCCAGCGAAAAGGTCATCCCGCACTTTGTTAAGAACAAAAACGATTTTGATAAAAAGCTCAACTCAGATAACCTATTTTCCTTTTACTATTCCAGCTGCCATTTTATTGAAGGAAACCTTTTGGCTATTGCATTTGATGCCTCAAAATTCTTTTGGAATCAAACCTTAAATCGCTCAAGGAATGCCTTCGATCTTGCTAGAGAAACTTCGGCATATTTTTTTGGTCTTGAGAATCCTACATTCTCTTAAATCCCTTGGCTGACCCCAAGCCAAGCTTGTGGGTTTTGCCATTCAATTTATTTATTATTTGGTTATTGCTATTATAAATAATAATATCTTTGTTTTGGCTAGACCTTTGGGTTTCCACTTGACTTGGTTTGAGATTTGGACCACTTGACTTGGTTTGAGATTTGGTCTCCTTGACTTGGCTTGGAATTTAGACCACTTGACTTGGTTAGAATTTGGTGACCACATCCAAACAATCCCCCATCCAAAGTGAAGGATATACTGTGTTTTTTTCAAAAAAACAAGGTTTATTTAGACATCTAGGTTATCAAAAATTCATTTGATAGGCAACATAAGACTTTAAACAAAATCTTAGAGCCTAAAACAAAACCTTTCAAAGGATCTTAAGGTTCAAAGAGTTGATGTGCATTGCAAACTACCATACTTGAAATTAAAGAGAGGAAGGTAGATAGAAACTCACCCTTGGAGTGCACCTTGAGTCCAACTCAAGTATTCCACCAGGTGATGGTGGTATTATCCACTTTCTACCTCTCCTCCAAGCCACAAAGTAGTGACCTCCAAAGTCTCCACACCACGCCTTTTTTTTGGAATGAAGATGATACACAAGAGAAATATGTGGTGCTAGCAACACTTCTCTTGGGACCGATTTTAGCTTGCCTTAGGAACAAAGATTTGATGTTTTCTCTTACTTCCTCCTCACCATGGGGCGGAGCCACATGCAGGCCTACTATGGCCGTGGCCCCGAACTTCCATGAAAAATCACAATTTCTTAAGAAGTTGCGCAATATTAGTTCACATATAACTATATATAACTTTTTATTTCAATTTTTTAGACGACATTAAAAATATTAACTTAATTCATAACATGTGTAAAACAAAATAAGAATTTTATTAATTCATGTTACGCATTACATTATTTTAATTAAGTATAAAATAAGGTTAAGGAGTGCACTTGGATGCAGAGTTATAGTTCAATGTCTTTTGTAAGTTTTTGTTATAAATTTTGAGACAATATTGAACAAATTAACTTAATTCATAACATGTGTAAACAAAACAAGAAGTTTATTAATTGATCCTATATATTAGATTAGTTTGATTAAGTCTAAAATAAGGTTACAAAGGACCTACTAGTGTAGTGGTTTGGAGCAATTTCTCCCTTAGGCAAGGTCTTGTGTTTGAGTCCTAGTATCCATGTAGTGTGTGAGTTTAGTATATTATCACCCCTCTCAATAGGAAATGTCCTAAAAAGAAAATGTCTAAAATAAGGTGGGGGATAAATAAAAAAATTTAAACAAAGTTCCTAAACAAGCCGGGGCAGACCGAGGTTTTCAAATCCTAAGCTCAAGGCTTACCCAAATCAAGAGTGGACATAAAAAAAGGGTCAGGTTGGGCTTTGGTCCATCGGGCCTCGGCCTACTTACTTCAGCCTATGGGCTTAGGGCCAAATGATGATCCCTACATACAACTCATATGAAGATCAATGTGACGCAGTTGAAACTACCTACAAGAAGGAATGCCTTCGCTCAACGAAATCAACGGACTTCCATAGACTTCTGCATAAATCTACGAAACGGGGAAATTGAGCTTTTTTTCTTCTTCTTTTTTCCCCAGTGTTTTGGGTAGCATCAACTGTAAGCACTGGCATGGAAGAACTTTTCAACATTGTGAGTTGGAGTTTTTAGTGGTTATAGAAAGACTTTAACTACAGTTCTAGAGGCAGTTGCCTCATCGACACTTGAATCTTACATGCCTTCTTTGGAATTTCAACATGGCCGACAAATGTAACTACATTCACATCAATCATCATAGAACAATAATCTCAAGTAATTGCATTATTTTACACGATCATCATTTTGGTCCCTTCTTCAAATTTGATCAATGTCATCGCCATCTTTTTTTATCTCGCATGTGTAATTATCATGTCAATTTCATTCAAATTTTTGTCATATGACGGTTGGTGTTATGTCGGTGGAGGTCGAAATTGCTAATTTTATAATATAAATGAACTAATTTGGTGATAATGCTCTTAATTTTAACCAAAAAAAAAAGAAGATAAACTTAATGTTGGGAATAATATTGATGTGCGTAGTAAGAGTACGAGGATGATATTGATCAAGTTTAGAAAATATGGACCTATTGATCAAGTTTAGAAAATGTTGGACCAAGTCAATATGGTTTAGCCTAGTGAAAAACGACCTTGATTTGCAAATCAAGGGTGTGTTTGGTATGCCTCACCAAACTGGACTATGCTAAATAGCACTTGAAATCCATGTTTGGTAAAAGAGGGGACTAACTTAAACGGGATTGTATAGTCCAAGAGAAAAAAATACTAGACTCGCTCGTCCAATACAATGAGGATGAAATGCGGTTCGCAAAATAGCAAGCGTGCTATTTTGATGTGTGAGTCCGACCAATCTAATTCTAAAACCAAATCCATATCCAAGCTTCAAGAATCAGTTTCTTCTTATTTTTCACCTAGAACTACCACCACCATAAACCCAGTCACATGAACCAACCGCCACCAATTCAAACCCAGCCACTTGAATCAACAGTCAAACAATATGGGTAGAATATTTTCAAGTTATATTCATTCTCCAAAAGGAGGTATTTATAATATAAGGATGTAACCCTAGTAGGGTTAAATTAGGAAAAAATATAAAATCCTAATTACACAATATCTGTACAAAAGGAAAGAAATATAGTCCTAATAAACTAGGAAATAAATCTCCTAATTAAGTTAGGATCTCGCTAACACTCCCCCTCAAGTTGGAGCAAAGATGTCATGCATGCCCAACTTGTCAAGCGAGTTGAGAAAGACAGTAGTATACCATTTTTCGTAAGAACATCTACCAGTTGATACTTGGATGATATAAAAGGAAAAGAAATAATTTCAGCATCCAACTTCTCTTTAATAAAATGTCGATCAACCTCCATGTGTTTTGTACGATCATGTTGCACAGGGTTCTGCGTAATTGCAATTGCAACATTATTATCACAATTCAAATCCATGGGTTTCTGGGGTGCAACCCCAAGATCTCTCAATAATCTTCTCAACTATAATAACTCGCACACATCTTGAGCCATCCTACGGTACTTGGCCTTAGCACTAGACCTAGACACCAACTTTTGCTTTTTACTCCTCCAAATAACAAGATTTCCACCAACAAATTGAAATACTCAGACGCAGAACGTCTATCAGTGATTGAACCAGCCCAATCAACATCCGTATACCCTTCCACATCTGTATGACCATACTTGCAAAACATTAACCCCTTGTCAGGAGTACTTTCAAATACCTCAAAATGCGCATCATAGCACCCATATGATCTTCACTAGGAGAATGCATAAACTGGCTCACTACACTCACTGCATATGCAATATCAGGACGTGTATGAACTAAATAAATCAATTTCCCCACAAGTCTTTGATAACGCTCTTTATCTGTATGGGTATTAATTGGTTTACAATCTAAAACTCCAGTCTCTGCAAGTAAATCCAAAATATACTTTCTTTGAGACAAAAAGATACCGTGTTAGATCTAGCAACTTCAATCCCAAGAAAGTACTTCAAATCACCCAATGACTTCATCTCAAACTCGGAAGCCAAATACTTCTGAAGATTTTGCATTTATGCCTGATCATCTCCAGTCACAATCATATCATCAACATAAATAATTAAATATGTCAATTTACCTTTATGACGCTTTAGAAACAAAGTATGGTCTGAGTTACTTTGCACATACCCAAATTTCTTCATAGATGCTGCAAATCTCCCAAACCACGCTCTTGGAGACTGCTTCAATCCTATAAAGACTTCCACAACTTACATGAAACACCCTCCTTAGAGGTTACAGGAATACCAAGAGGGAGATCCATGTAAATCTCCTCCTTGAGGTCACCATGTAGAAACACATTTTTGACAGCGAATTGTAATAAGGGTCAGTCGCGAAGGGATAATAGTACATGCACAGTATTAAGCTTTGCCACTAGAGCAAAAGTCTCCAAATAATCCATTTCATAGGTCTGAGTATAACCCTTTGCTACCAATCTAGCCTTGTAACGGTCAATGGAACCATCAGCCTTATGCTTCAAAATAAACACCTATCTGCATCCAACAACTTTCTTCCCTTATGGAAAAGAAACTAAATCCCATATTTTATTCTTGTTCAAGGCATCCATTTCAACATTCATGGCATCCATCCATTTGGGGTTAGATAAAGCATCATACAGCTTAGTTGGCACACATACACTAGATAATTGAGACAAATATGATGCATATGACTTAGACAAACGATGAGTTAATACATAATGGCTAATGAGATATTTAGATTTGACATGTATATCAGGAGAATATTGTACTTTAGGTTTCTCACGAGTGGTTCGTCTGATAAGTTGACACAGGTAGATCATTAGAAATTACCTCACTTGATTCACTATCACTAGTAGATTGGGGCACTGGCAGGGCAGAGGGGGGTATTGCATCGATCTCATCCATATAAGAATCACTGTCACTATTTTTAGATACATGTGACTGGTCGTTTCAACACCAAGAGCACCTGATTCATCTCCGGATATGGGCGACCAGTCGCTTACTTCAGTGATACCGGTCGTTCCTTCTCGAAAGCAGTATCTTCAAACACATTATTCTCCAATTCAAGTCCAAGATTCTCCAATCCAAGACTCTCCAATTCACTCCCCCTATCCCCCTGAATTGGAGAGGAGGGAGAGACATAATAGGGCACTTCTTCATGGAAAGTCACATCCAAAGTAACATACACCTTCTGGGTAAGTGGATGATAGCACTTATAACCCTTATGAGTAGAAGAGTAACCAATAAAGACACATCGCAGAGCACAAGGATCAAGTTTACTCAGTTGATGAGAGTAGACATGAACATAGGCAACACACCCAAAAAACATTAGGGGTCAACTTGGAGACGGAGACAGGGGAAACATGGTTACCAAACACATCATGTAGAGTCTTGAAATCAAGAACCTGGCTAGGAGTACGATTAATCAAATAGGCAGCAGACAGAACAGCATGCCCCCAAAGATGATGGGGAACAGACATATCCAATATTAGTGAGTGGGCAACTTCAAGCAATTGTCGGTTCTTTCTTTCAGACACACCATTTTGTTGAGGAGTAAAAAGGGTTCGTTTGGTGAATAATACCTTGAGCACGAAAGAAAGACGCCAAAGTATTATTCACATATTCGCCTCCGTTATCAGTCCAAAATACTTTGATCCGAGCGTAAAACTGAGTAGACACCAAAACTCTGGAAGAATGGAAGCAACATCATGTTTATTTTTCAGCAAGAAAACCCAAGTAAGTCGGGTACAATCATCATAAATGTGACGAACCAACGAAATTCGTTCGAAGTAACGCGAGCCGGACCCCACACATCAAAATGCACTAAATCAGAAGGCTTTGTAGCTTTACTGTCACTCAAAGGAAACACAATACGATGACTCTTGGCCAAAATACATGTCTCACACTTAAAACTGGACTCATCACAAAAGCGGAATAAAGATGGAAACAGACGCTTAAGGTAGCCAAATGATGGGTGTCCCAAGTGATGATGCCATAACCAAATTTGTTATTGTCTTTGACACTGCAACTTTGAACAGTATTAACGACACGATACCAACTGAGGCAGAAGGCAATGTCAAATAATATAACCCCCCTATCCGTTTACCATTCCTAATCGTCTCGTGAGTCTTGAGATCCTGAAAAGTGCAATGTATAGGATAGAAAGTAGCAGAAGCATTAAGTGTATCAAATAATTGACCAACAGATAACAAGTTACAATGGATATTGAGAACTAATAACGCACGAGACAAGGACATAGTAGGAGTGAGAGAGATTGTGCCCTCACAAGTAATTGGATAGGGAAAGTCATTAGCACTAGTTATGTATGGATCACGGGTGTTATTAGACAACTCATCAAAAAATTTAGCATCATAAGTATATTATAGAAGCAACAATGTCAATTGTCCAAGTATTGAAGCCAGTACCTGGAATAGAATCAGAAACACACAATTTGCAGAAGAAGCAGCAACAACACCACACATGGAGTTATCACCCATAATTGCAGCAGAAACTCAACAGATCACAGTAGAGTATACAACGGAACACAACAAAGGCACAAATACGGCAGATGCACAAAAACAGGAATGACACAAACACAGTAGAGGCACGAAACAATACATCACAACACACAAACCCAAGAGGGCACACACGGCACAAGTAGAAAAAATATATATATACATATATATATATATATATATATATATAAGGCTAGAACACAGGTGGGCACAACACACAGGTCACCAGATTAGTTGGCTCTGATACCAAGTTAAACAATATGGGTAGAATATTTTTAGGTTGTATTTCATTCTCCAAAATATGGTATTTATAATACAAGGATATAACCCTAGTATGGTCAAACTAGGAAAAAAGATAAAATCATAATTACACAATAGTTATATAAATGAAAGAAATAAAGTCCTAATAAACTAGGAAATAAATCTCCTAATTAAGTTAGGATCTCACTAACATCAACCACCACCAAATCAAACCCAGTGGAACCACAACCCAATTGGACTTTCCAAAAAATTATCAACCATCGACCATGGCTCAATGAAACCAAATAGAGATTTGTGACTTCGAAGGAGATGAAGATCTGTGACTTCAAAAGGGAATAAGAGACCTTGGCTGCTAAAAGTCATGAGTTTAATCATGGCCTCCATGTTTTGAAGAAACTCTTGCCTTCCTTAGAGCCATTTTAGATGTTGATGCTCGAGGTGCTACTAGACCTCCCCTTGTCACTATTTAATTGTTTCTGTTTTGGGACGTTTATCCCCCTATGTACCCAAAAAAAAAGGGGGGGAAGAAGAGAGAGAAAATGAGAGGGAAGCAGAGAAAAGTTTGGGAGGGGGAGATAGAAAAGAATAGAGAATGAGAGGGATATCATTGTGTCAATGTTGGAGAAGAAAAGCGAGAGAACTAGAGAGTGAGACCGAGAGGGAGAGAGAAAAAGAAAAAAGAAACGGGGCCTGGGAAGGAAGAAGAAAAGAGAAATGAGAGAAAAGGAAGAAAGAAAGAAAAACGAGTAAAAAGAAAAAAGATATAAGATAAAGATAGTTTTAGCCTTTAAAAACATTTAAAAAAATTATTTAATAAATTATACATTTCACATTGGTTTCTTTGCAGTATTTATTTAGTTTTAGGTCAAAATCCCTAATTAATTTTAAATATTTAAATAATTTTTTTAGTCCAACACAACACCAAACATAGATCTTCACTATTTTTACAATCCAACTTCTTAGTCCAACGCATCACCAAATGTAGACCAGTACTTAATTTAACTTAAGCCAATCCGAACTAGTCCAAGACAGTATCAGGTCTTAAGTTCAAACCACCATGACATGGTCTAACCAGTGAAAATAGACCAAAATCAAGTTTAATAATACAAAGATCATTCTTCACTTTTTGGTTCAAAATACAAAGACCATTTATGAGATAAAAAACCAAAATTGAGTTACTCCTGAGTCCTGATAAAACAAAGAATTTATTGAGCAATTATCTTCCAAAACGACGTCGTAGGCTCTCTTCGTCATAAACCCTAGTGTCCCTCCCCAAACCTCTGCATCAGTGAGTGTGGAACTGAATATGGAGGGAGGAGGAGAAGCAGGTTCAGCAAAACCAAACCCCACAGTCGCCCAAGTATGCGAAGAGTGCAAAGCGAACCCATCTAAGTACAAATGTCCTGGTTGCTCCATACGTTCCTGTAGCCTACCCTGCGTGAAAGCTCACAAGTTTCGCACTGGTTGTACGGGCAAGAGGAACCAAACCAACTTCGTCCCGCTCTCTCAGATTGACAATAATCAGCTCCTTTCTGGTACCTTTCCTCTTTTCAAATTTATTCTATGTTAGTGAAGTAATTATCTCTGCGAGTTGTTTTTTCCCACACGGAGAATTGAAAATTGGATTGTAAACTCAGTCCCCTTTTTAGTTTCGTTGGAATTTTTGACTGGTAGATCATAGTTTGCTTGAGAATGTCTCACTGAGAAATGAGTACTTATGGTATGGTTCACAATTGTTTCTAGCTGTGGGAGTTCTTTTGGTTTAGAAAATTTGACTTCTTTTCGTTAACTTTAGTGCTTGTTCTTTCACTTGTAATTTTTCATGGATAAAGTACAAGTTTTCTTGTAATTTTTCCATGTTGTTTGCATAAACTTTGAGTACCTTGTTAGGAGGTTTGAAGATAAATAACGTATGGGACATTAAACGATCGAATTCATTCTTTTGTTGTCTGTTATTCTTTCCTGGGATTGATTTAAATACCCTTTTGCATGTTTAACATACTGTATTGTTTTCTTTAAATCTCAACAACTGTCTTTAGTTTGCTTATTGAAGTTTGCTCCTTCGTTCTTACATAATCTAACCATTGCATTTGTATTGAAAACTCTGTGTCTAGACTACAATTTGCTTGAGGAAGTGAAGAGGGTTTCTGAATCTGCTCAGAGATTGAGAAATAAGTTATGCAGATATAATTATTATAGGCTACCCGATCACCTTAAAAGTCTCAGGGGTGCTGCCTCCAGTCGCAGAACGAAACTCTTGTTTCTACCAAGTGGAATGTCAAAAAGGGAGAAAAATCAAACTCGATATGACCGAAGGTAAAATTTCTCAAAGCTCTCCACTTTAGATTGATACGGGGATGGATTTTCTGTGGTCCTACATATGCTTTGAGATACTTCCTTTTAGTTAGATTAGAGTCAAGTGCTCTGACATGTTTGCATAATTTCATTGCAATATGATGCAATAAGTAGTCAAGTTGTAAACTCTCGTTTATATTTGAAGTATGATATCTAATGAGTTTGTTCTCTCTCTCTCTCTCTCTCTCTCTCTCTCTCTCTCTCTCTCTCTCTCTCTCTCACGGTGTCTCTGTTTTTTTCTTTAAAAAACCAACTTTTCAGATCTGTTAATTTTTTTTAAATGACAGGGATTACAAATATTGAAAGGAGATGATGCATGCCTTAACCATATATGTTGACTGACTTTTCTTATGATTCTTTATTAGTAGTAGTACAGGAAACTTGAATTCTAAGAGGTTTTTATTTGAAGATAAAAGGAGGATTTAATCAGCCGTTAGGTTGTGTTTAAAAAAATATATTTATTTCTGATTGTCTGATCTGTTTCAGGAAGAAATGCATCTCCTGGACAATTGAATGGCGATTTCATTCAACGGATGTTGTTTTAACTGACCATGAGTGAGCTACTTCCCCCTTTGAGGAGTCTAGTGTTTTTTTAATTTCTTAGTCCAGGCTTGGGTAATGTAGTTTGACCACTGGCGCATTTTGATGTTCATGCAGAGTAAATGAAAACATGAAGTTCTGCTCTATTATTGAGAACCATCTAAAACCTGGTCCATGGAATCATCAGCTGAGGCTATTCTGTGAAGAGCAGCTGGATTGTCTCAGGCTTTTTATTCGTAAATATCCGAAGGTTTGTAATTTGTCTTGTAGTTGATTTTGACTAATTTATGTTGCTGCATGATATCATGCATAATTATGTCCGGTTATACCTTGCATTGTGTGTCTATGATGGATTGGGTACCCCTTTTGCTGATGCCCCTTCAATTTCCTACCACTTTTGAATCTTCTGGGGTGACTTATCCTTTGTCCACCTGCTATGGGTGCTGAAGTTGCAACGAGCTCGGTTTTTTCTGGACACGCTTGTCTTGCAGGAAATGTAAATAGACACAGATACCCTTGCACTTGCATAATTTGTATATGGTAGATGGCTGTACTTGTAGATTCGATGGCTAAATATTGTGTCTCCGTCAAATTAGAGTTGGCTTTGTGTCTCCGTCAAATTAGAGTTGGCTTGTAATCCTAATTGACCTGCTTTGATAATATTTTGGATTATTTATGTCAGAAATATAATAGAATACTGGCTCATAATCTTTTGTCTGTCATTACAGGGCGCCAGGTCACCTTTCTGTGAGTTGGACATAAGAGTTCCAATAAGGCAGCAGTTAACCAACTTGGTTATTTTGGAATATCCTGTGATCTATGTTTTTCTCCCTTCGCACAGTCTTGATTTTGAAGTAGTTAAAATGCCACTCCCTCTTTTTGCAAACCAGAACTTAAAACTTATGGAAGAAATGATCCGAGCGCAGGAGGTGTTCCCTTTAAGGAGGAGGAAATAGAAGAAGACAACAGCTATCCTAAGGTGTTTGATCTCATGAAACATGAGACTTCAAGTTCCCTGCCTCATATCTCCAGTAGAAGCAGGTGTGAGAAAGCACCAGATGATTCATTAACTAGGACTTTGCCTGCAACAGTGGCAACTGACAATGATTTGCATTCCAACTCCAATGCTAAGGAACAAGGGCTTTTTGAAGACATGGACTTTGATTTTGATCAAGGCTTAATAGACACGTACTCAAATCTAATTGCAGAAATTAATCCTGATGATTTTCTTGATTTGGAAGGTGAATTAACCAAGGAAGAATTAGAAGAAAGAAATCTTTCTAGTGTCAGGAAATTCTTATTAGCAGATGACGACATAGAGGAGGGGGAAATTTTGGAATAATTGGACTTGTAGCATTCCCCAAAAAGAATCAAAAGAGGGAACTACCAGAGGAGCATCAACTAAGGGTTTTGCTACCAACTGCAATTTTGGGCGGGTATTCCACTCTGCTGTTATAAGATATTCTTTGGAGCAAAGTCTTAAATTAGCTGGTAATAACTTGCTAAAACTATTTGTTTTCTGGCTTACCCCTTTCCATCTCCTGTCGTGTGACAAGCTAATACTGGTGATGCTTTACCGGGTTCTACAATTTCAAGTTTGTATATTCCTGAAGTTCTGAAACATGGTACTCTCTGGATTGGAGTCTAGTTCCTTGAGCTTGGCGCAATTAAGAAGTTTGGATATCCTTGCTACTTTACCTATTTGGATGATCGAAGGTTGTCAGGTTTTATCATTTGATTCTTTGAAATGGTTCAGAGAGATGAATTCTGTGATCCTGGCAATTTGCCCCTACTAAATATGGCTCCGATATTTACTGCTTTGAAGTTGATGCATATGCAACATTGGTTGCAAGATATACAGCTTTACTGTAAATTGAATACTGAAGTTTCATACTTTGATTGCAGCATCAGTTCTTTGCCCAATGTCTGTTGTGACCGAGAAGAAAGAAATTCTCAAATTTTAAATAGACTTTGGTTGGAGGATATGCAATTTGTAAAGCATGAGGGCCTATCTGGACCTTGGAAGAAGTAAACTACTACAAGTGTTTATTTATCTAACTTCGGATTTCTTACTTGCTAACTTTTTTAATTTTTGGCAATATCTTACTTGCCAACTTAACGTACCGTGCAAAATAACTATCAGATAGTTTTTATAAATTGGAAAAAGTTTTTTATTTTACTCCTGAATTCTTCTCATTAAGAAGTTAGTCTAAATCTAAATAGAGGCTTCGAATCTCATGGTCATCATCAGTGGCGAATCCAGAATTTAAAAGTCAAGTATGCGAAATTTACCTTAAAAACTTGACTGTACGAGTGAATTTCATTCATAAAAATAAAAAGATACACCTAATCGGGGAGAGCGTAATGAGATTTACCATAAGATATTAAAACTTAACAAAAAAAAACTAAAAAAACAAATTAATGTAATGCAACACAAAAATTAAACTATTTAAATCTAAAACTAAATTAAACTATTAAAAAACTTAAGATGCATACATTTATTTTAGAAAAAAGCCAATAGAAGAATACTTATTGGCCTTAGATATGAGAAAATGCTACCAAGAGAGAATGTCCAGACTCAGGAAGAAGCTGCAAAAGAATGATTTGGGACTGTCGACTATTGCACAGCCGAAAGGAAATTGGCTGCTTACTTATATTGCTTCCCCCCTTTTCTTTTTTTAAGTTTGACTGGGCCATGCAACACGTGGGTTGCTTTTGAGTTTGGGTATGCATGGGTTCACACCATTACATGGGATGGGTAGGATTAGCTTTGCTTACATATAGGTTTTTTGTTTTGCTTTAGAACCGCCACTGGTCATCATCATTGAAATTTTTTGACTTCTCACAATACTATTTATCATTTTCTCGAGTATATCGAAAATTTATGCCTTTTTGCTCTTCAATCTAGTAACCCGAAGTCTCGAAATCAAATTAACTAATAAAGAAAACTTGAAGTAATCAGTCTCAGGTTTAAATTCCCATTATATTTTGGTAGTGTGAGAAAACTACCTCCCCCCTCTTACTTTTACCAAAAGTGTCAAATTCCATTCAAATCATGTCATTGTCATACCCAATTCTGCAAAAAAATCTCAAATTCCATTTAAACCATATCATTGTCATACCCAATTTTGTGAAAAGGGTTTCCCCCAATCATGTCATTAGCAGTACAATAATTGGTGTTATGTCCCTCACTACGGAAGCTGACTAGCCAAGAGCTAAATTGTTTTTTTTTGTTTGGTTCACTTTTTTATCGATAAGATTTAAATTGAATGGTAATTAAATAATATATAACAGGTCCATGTGAGAAACATGAGGCTTTTTATATAGTAGGTAGGGCCTCTGAATTATTGAGGTTGTCAAATTTTGAGCTCCATCTATATATAATATAATATATGACAGGTTGAATTGAAGGTTCGTATAGGAGAGGGGCTAATTAGAATAGAATAATGGGTGTTGAAGGAAATCATCGTCTTCTTTTGTGCCTCATAACTCTTGCCTTATCAACTGCTGCTGCTCATGGGGCTGCTGTGAAACCGAGTCATGACTCAATGCCATTCAATCGAACTAGCTTCCCAGCTGGGTTCGTATTTGGAGCTGGTTCAGCTGCTTATCAGGTGTTTATTTATTTATGTTCAGACAAAGAGCAAAAGCTAGCACCCACTTAATTATTTCTTTCCCACTTTCTTGTTAGTCTGAAGGAGCAGCTCTTACCCATGGAAGGGGACTAAGTATATGGGATACCTTCATTAGGAAGCATCCAGGTCTCTCTCTCTCTCTCTCTCTCTCCTCTCTCTCTCTCTCTCTCTCTCTTAAAATTGTTTGAGAATTTTTAAATTTTCATGGCAGAAAAAATTTCCGATGGTAGTAATGGGGATGTAGCCAATGATTTTTACCATCACTATAAGGTATGTTCCGCCATATATATATATTGCATATGTTTTTTTATTTATCAAAATGAATAATTTCATCTACTGCCACACACAGGAGGACGTAAAATTGATTAAAAAGATCGGCTTGGACTCCTTCAGATTTTCAATCTCATGGTCAAGAATACTACCTAGTAAGATCATTCATTTATGCATCAACGGATCCTGCATTACATTCATATGATTCAAAGTTTTTTTTTCTTTTCCCTCGCAGAGGGAACAGTTAAAGGTGGAGTGAACCAAGAAGGCGTCAAATTCTACAACAATCTTATAAATGAGCTCTTATCCAATGGTACATAATTATTTTTTTTTTTTTGTCCATTCTTTTCAATAATTCTCTGGCTTATCTGTGCTATTCCATGTCTACAGGAATTGTGCCTTTTGTCACCCTTTTTCATTGGGATCTACCACAAACACTTGAAGACGAGTATGATGGATTTTTGAGCCCTAAGATTGTGTAAGTGACGGATAAAAATTAATTAACCAGAATTCATACATATATATATTATAATAAATTATTATGGACACAAAGTATAATTTAATTCCACCAATAGTGATGATTTTCAAGACTACGCCAATTTTTGTTTCAAAACATTTGGCGACCGGGTCAAGTATTGGGTGACATTGAATGAGCCTGTAACATATTGTGTTAATGGGTACAACGGTGGCACTTATGCACCGGGTCGATGTTCGAGCTACGTCGGAAACTGCACTGCCGGCAACTCTGCCACTGAGCCTTACATTGTGGGTCATCATCTACTACTAGCTCATGCATATGCTGTGAAATTATACAGGGACAAGTATCAGGTTGGCACATTAAGAAAATACCTCATTTCCCTATTATATTTTTATTATTTGCTTTTCAAGTTTCAATAAAACGTGGCTTTGATTATTTCAAAACTATTTTTAAAATATTACATGTTGAATTGGTAAAAGATAAATAAATTCATAAACAAAAAGGTTTAGGGCCCATCCATGTGAAGCTTTACTGTTCTTTGCTAGGATTAATAGGATAGGATTTCGTCCTCACCTCTCTCTTCCTTTGATAGGATAGGATTTCCTCCTCACCTTTTCAGCGCTTATATCACACTTCTCTTTCTTTCTTTTAATGGAAAAAAATAAAATAAAGGATAGCGATTACTTTCACTCCTTTTTTTGTCCATTGAGCATATGTTTTAGCTAACTTAGTTAAGTCCATATCTGCAAAATACTTGACTCGTTAACTACATGTAAAGAATGATTCATCTATACTATACAAGCAAATACATAATTATTTAAAGTAGTAAAATAGTAATTATAGTTCTAAATTCAGTGATAACAAAATATGATTTTACATTTGAGTTCATGCATACAGGCCTTTCAGAAAGGACAAATTGGGATTTCCGTTGTGACATTCTGGTATTTACCAAAGTCGGGAACAGCTGCAAGCAAGAGGGCAGCCTCTAAGGCTCTTGATTTTATATTAGGATGGTGAGCAATTAATTTAAATATAAAAAAATAGTTATCTAGAATAATGAGTAGTCTTAATTTGAAGTTGAATTTGTATTATAGGTTTACTCATCCTGTTACATTCGGTGAGTATCCCCAAAGCATGAGATCTTCAGTGGGAGATCGTTTGCCTAAATTCAGCGTAGCAGAATTAAAACTGCTAAAAGGATCTATAGATTTCCTTGGTGTCAATTATTACACAGCTAGTTATGCAGATCCTCCCTCACTCTCTGCTGCCACTTCTACTGTTAACCAAAGTTTCTATGGAGACATGGATATCTCTCTCTCTAGTATGTATGCTCAACTCAACATCATTGTTATATAGTATTCATGTGTCCTCTGCTAATGTTGTAACTACTCTTTTGCAACAGCGGACAAAAATGGGGTTCCTTTGGGTACACCGGTACTCTCTCTCTCTCTCTCTCTCTCTCTCTCTCTCATTTGAGCATCTCCATTCGTCGCAACTGATATCGTCGGCAGAGATAGGTTTCCTTGTAGTGATTATAGAACCCTAAACATAAAATGTTACTTGAGAATTAGCTCATGTGAGAATGGAAAATTAATCTATATGTGTGTGTGTATATAGTTACTGATAGTTGATATTGGTTTAATTTGCAGACTGCTTTGAGCTGGCTACACATCTACCCAAAGGGAATTCGAGAGCTTATGCTACATATAAAGGAAAAGTACAACGATCCGGAGATTTACATTACTGAAAACGGTACGTAAGACCTACAACTAATTTTGTAATTAATTTTATAAATTAGTATGATCATTTTGTTGTTGTTGTAAATTTAATGAAATCATATATTAAACTTTGCATGTTGAAGGTGTTGGCGATGCAAATAATAGCTCCCTGCCTATTAAGACTGTCCTCAAGGATAGTACAAGGATAAGATACCATTATCTCCATCTTTCGTATCTTTCAGAAGCCATCAAGTGAGTACAAGGATATATATACATATATATATATATATATATATAATTTCCATGAAATCAAATAATTAATTTCTAATTTAATCTATATGTGTAGAGAGGGCGTTAAAGTGAAGGGATACTTTGCATGGGCATTTGCGGATGTGTATGAATGGAACTCTGGCTACACTGTTCGATTTGGACTTGCTTATGTCGATTACAAAAACAAATTCAAAAGAACTCTCAAGTACTCTGCCTATTGGTTCAAGATGTTCCTCCTCAAATGATTGATGGATATATGCATGACTTGTAAGCTTCTAGCTAGAATTAATCCACCGTCGGACCATGGACTTTTTTGTTAAATAATCGGACCATGGACTTCCTGGTTGATTTAAATAAATTTTGTTTAATCAAACAACTCCGTTCGATTCAATATTAATTCCCACTGCCAAAATTTCTTTCAATTTCCACATGCATGATACATACATATGCGTGGTCCTTGTTATGAATATCTATTGCCTCAAACGCGATCCGAAACAATAAGGTAGGGTTTCGATGACAAAGAATATGCTGTTTACGTAGGTAACAATAATGCTTATGATTAGAGCTGACAATGAGTTGTGTCGGGCAACAATAATGTTTATGAGTCACGACTGCTAGGCTAGGCCTCTGTTTTTGTAGTTTTGCTTCTTTTTTTCCTTACCATGTGATTTTATTCAGGCTGCAAATTTCTTAATTAAGATTTTGCTCTTTATGTCTTGGTCTTGATTGTCACGTTTGAGTTGTGGATTGACTATTCTAATTGTCCATTGTACACATTTTATGATATTTTAATAAAATATATTTTTCAAAAAAATAAAGCCATGTGTTTCAGGCAAATGATTTAAAATAATAACTTGGTAAATTGGCTATTTTTGGTAACTAAATTATTAAGCTTCGTTTCTTTAATATTTTTTATGGAGCAAACGATATTCCATTAAAACCCTCCCAGGAAAAATCCAGTGGGACAAAACCCCAATGTAAAAAAGAGTACAATCCATGAGCCACGGTCACGGAGGCACAATTCCATCTAGAAAGAAAGAACCCCTGTCACGGAGACTGAACTGTGCAATCTGGTGAGCCGTCTTATTTGCTTGCACATAGTGAACAGCAGCAAGGGGTCTTGAAGCCAGCAACGTACGAATCTCATCCACCAAGCCACCTTCCACCTTCCACGGCTAGACATTCACCATTTGGACTGCATTTAGGCAATCAGTGTCTACCACTAAAGGTACCCGATAAGCATCCAACGCAAAGGAAATTCCCATTTTGATTGCATATAGCTCCGTAGCGAGGACGTAAACCATACCAGGAGCCTTCATAGCCACGCCACCAACCAAAGCTGCAGACGAATCGCGAACAATAAACCCAACTCCTCTGTGACCATACTTTAAATCTATTGCACCATCCACGTTTAACTTAACGGAAACACAACTTCCCCCCTGCGGAGGTAGCCACCGAACACAAAGACCTGGCGAAGAAGGCCTGCTATGACGTAATGCTAACTCTGCTTTAAGTTCCTCATCGTAGTTCTTGATAACCATGGCGAAAAAGGAATCTAGGGTTTGAGCTTGGACAGAGAAAGTAGAAGAGAGAGAGGAAGAAAAGATCTCTGTATATTTCTGTTATCACAAATCTGTTACAATCCCAACTTAGCTTAAGCTGAGCCTAAGCTCGTCTTTATATAACTAACAGACTTTCTTCTGTTCTAAGTATCCTAACTAACTAACATTCACGTGACGCCAGCTCATTCAGCACACCCAGCACACCTCAGCTATAATACTGTTTAACAGTTTTTTGCACAGGCAATCAAAATCCATGGTGGCACCCACTGGCGGATCCAGAAATTTTTAGCAGAGGTGCAATATTGACTAAGTATGAAAATGGTTTTTCGGAATAATCATTTTCTCAAGATAATTTTTGGCGGCTTTTATTCCTTATACATCAAATAAGAAAACTTGATTTTATGGGATTTTAGTATGAAGTATATATTGACTTAATGAGCCATCATTTTTAGCCTAAATCGTATTTTGCACTAAAACCGAATTTTCATATTTTGATTTGGTGGGAATTTGATTTTCTAGTATTTTTATTTGAATCCAAATGGGGGCTACTTCCTTATTTACGTTGTAAACTTAAGTAAATGGAGTAATATAAAAATAAATAAAGTAAAAAGACAAAGACATTTACTTAAATGTTGAAAATGGAAATAAGGTAATCTGTACACCAGTTGAGCAAAGGGGCAATTTGAAGCACCTACAATGATTTTTCTGGCAAATGGAGGTGCAGCTGCATCTCCTTGCGCCTTAATAGATCCGCCCCTGGTGGCACCGGATCAGATCCATAGAGAACACTGTTTTTTTTCATGTCACAACACCCAGCCGTAATAGCAAAAAGGGATAACTTTTCCACAGAAAGAATATCCCACACCGCAGACACCCAACTCAATGTATCCGGAAGTCTGAGGTGAAGGAATTGCGTAGGAAAACCTAATCCCTCCCAGACTTCTCGACAGATGCCACACTCAAAAAACTCGTGGACAGAAGTTTCCGGTATTGATAAATCATATAATTACTCATGTACAAGGTGCTAATCCATGATGACTAGGCCTCTTATAACTTCATGAAAACAACACAATGACTAGATTTTCTCGTTCTCCTCTCTCTCCCTACTGGAACAAGAAACCAGTTGGGCCTCTACCTATTTAAAACCATACTCATGCGATACGAGGCCCATTACTAATATCAAACTCGATACTGGGCCACTGAAAATTATTACACTTCAACTGCGAATGGCATGGTAGCTGTCCTGCGTTCTATTTATGAGCATCTTCACAAAACTTCAAAATTATGATGCACCAAAGCAAGAAGGATAGGGCCTTACCCATCCCCTATATTTTTATGTGCTACAATTACATTTATTTGTTTTAAGAAATCAATGCCACCCGCCACCTTTGTGCATCTTGAAAAAGATAAGTTTGTTTTGGTGGTGGTACGGGTTAAGAAGTTAGAACCACAAGTAGTAGACGAAATAATTGAAAGTTGCTACGACATTGAGGGACAGATTTATGGTGTAAAGCAAAAAGTGTCCAAGAGGCAAACAAAATGGGTTGAGAAATTATAGGCACTACAAGAGGACATGAAATAAATACACATGGGGAGGGGACAACGCCCACATGTAAGAAAACATGGGTAGATTATCCTTTGTGTTGCTTCCCCTGCTCAATTCAAAGAAATCTCTGTTAGCACTCTCTATCTTATCCTCATCCTCAAATCATTCTTCATACACTTCCAATCAATTATTATTTTCATATGGGCCATTTAATTCTCTGGCAGTGGCACCCCTTTGCTTTGGCCAAATGCACCCTTCAAAAAAAGTGTAATATTGGATAAATAGCTAAACATTAGGTTGGATAACATGGTCAGTTCACAAGCTGTGTTATTTGTATGGAAAAAGTGCCAAACCATTGACCCACTGCATGTTTTTTTGCCTTATCCTACACGAGCCATGTCTCTACTCTATTTTCTTTCTTTTTTTCTTTAAAAAAAATTACCGAAAAGAAGGAAACATAATGTTTTATAACGAAATCGAAATTGTTGTAAAAATTAAAATAGACAGATTATTATTATTTTTGGGAAAGAGGAACTTAAGTTTGGGACTCTTTCAATATTGGAATAAAAAATACTACTATAACGCTAGGATTCAAAAAAATATCTTTTGGTGAGTTGGAGTTCGTTCTAGATTTGAGTGTTGAAATCGTAGATAAAATACAATTGTCTCACATCGGGACGGGACGTAAAAATACTAGATTGGAAGGTTTTCTAAAGTAAAACCTACTGCACAGTTTACTGGGTACGATGAGCTTTAGGTTCTTCAAATGGTTTAAAGTTTGGGCAATATATATGTGGCTGAAAGACATGGTCCCCAATAGCCCTGGTGGGGGAAAGGGGTACCCTAGGAATCTAGGGTGCTCAAACTGCAGCTGCCATTCAAAGTCAATATTCATGTGATACTTCATTTCCAACTTCCAAGAAAGGAACTATCATATTTCTCTCAAGAGGAAAACATATGAGAAGTTGAAGTCATGGCCATAATGGGTATGTTTGGGTTTTTTGCTTTTTGTCAATGGCATGGTACGTCAGGTGGAGCAGCTCCACGAACCAACCTGACCTCCTTAACTACTCTAAGAAATGAAATTGTGAAGAGCTCCAGATAAAAATCATGCATCTTCTCCACTGTTGCTTTCCTTTGATTTAAATGGTTGTTGAACTTCTTATTCATATGATCTTAACCACTCAACAACCCCATTGGATTAACATAATCTCTACATTTGTTTGTTATATTCTTATGCGAATAATTAATTTGGCGAGTCCTAACAATAATGATGACTTAGCTTGGGTGATTGTTGTTGAATGAGACAAAAAGTACGCATTTGATCAACATCAAATTCACAAAGAGGGAAAATTATTAGAATATAAGTATTCAATCCATTGATCTCAATTAGTTAGTTCCATCTTGCATCCATAAATTGAAGCAGATAATTAATTTAACAAATCAGTATATCACTCTTGCGTCCATAAATTTTCTGATTTAGAACATATATATATAGTCGAGATGATCGAGGAGCAGTTTGATTAGCGCAACATCAAAATCTAACTGTTGCAGGCCGAATAACGTTGTTTGGTAGGTTAAATCAGCATTTTTAATTAGTATTAAGAATAATTTTGGAATTTTGATTCCAATTAGTATTCCTAGTAGTACTGGGGTTTGAGGTAGTATTTAAACGAACTTTAACTAAGAGATTAGAGGGTTGTTATTCCGAGTACAATTAATTATCAATAAATCATGAGATTTCTCTCAAATTTCTGGTGAATTCCAGATTTTCTGGTTCTAAAGCTATCGTTAGATCACCAACCCATTATTACGTGCCTCATTTCTTTTTGGCAAAGAAGCAAGAAATAACAAAATTGGCAGAGACAGCGAGCTAGCACCTACTCCCACTTTAGAAATGACATAATTTAGGTAAACTTCTGTTGGTAGTGCAGATTTATTGGTTATAACCACCCAATAATTGTTTATAAAAAATATAATTAGAGTAGTTAAGCAATGACAATTACAACTTGAGAAATAATTTGGGTTCAAGTAACCTGCAGCATATATACTAACAAATGCTTGCACATCTCATATATAATAGGTCAAATAATGCCATGATCCTTACATTTAAACTACCGCATATACTTTTTTTAGATCATGTTTTCATCACCGTCTTGCATTTTGAGTTGTTTATAATGAAGCATACGTTTGCATGTAATTCTGACTAAAAATTTCTGAGAGATATGTCAGGACATTGAGATAACGCCAATTAAATAAAATGACTCTGACTCTGACGTAATCTATCTACAATATTATTTTTTTAATATCATTTTTTAATGTGCAAAATGATGAGGAGATCATATGGCAAACTGGCATGTGAGCTAGAGAATGTGCCAAAATGTTGACCCAAAAATTTAATGAAAATTGTAAGTGGGTCATAACTATGGATGGTCGTGTTTTACCAACCAAGACCATGAATTATTAAAGAGTAATGTATAGCTTGATGTATAATCTCCCACGTCAGAAATTTAACAAAATAAATATGATATATAATGAGTGATTTTATTATTAATATTGCTGAGATTTTTTTGTGATAAAACTTTACAATTACTGGTCTTTATAAGTAGGTAAGTTAAAGACAATATCGATGTTGATAATAAGTGGTTAAATTGAGGATATATTTTTTTTTAATAAAAGGGAAAATATTCCACAAGAAAGAACATTAACAAATAAAAGTTCTCCCCTTTATATTAGAATACAGACAACAACACGCAAGCCGTGATGCCTAGACAAACCCTATTATCACTAGGACACCTTCTCTTTTTCCCAAACTAGTTCCTATGTGTCTCACCCTAAACCCTAAATATTTTAGTACACGTTGTTGAGCTGCAAATCTCACACTATATATTGTTATTATATAAGTTTCCATCCAAAAGCCTATTAATCATTCAATGTGTGTTAATAATATAATTAAATTTGCTATGGCTCTACATTTTTTATGACATATTATTAGGATTACATAATTAATTGTTTAAATCATGCGTATGCATATACATACATATAAAACTATACAAAAAATGATGTATTATTTATCGTGTTACATCACATTCGCTCGAAATTCTAATGTTGTTTTTGGTCCAAATGAATTTTTTGTTGTGAGGAAATTAACAAATAAATAAATAAATAGTCTTCGGATTCCTCTTTACCCTGCAGCCTGCATAATGAAATTGTGGTTGGCTTGACGTGCATGACTAAAGAATATATATTTGACTCAACTACATGACCGCCAGGGTGGACGGACAAATTATTGTATAGCAGCTAGCTATAGCTGGTCATGTATCATTTCAAGTCTATATATATGTATGTATATATCTATAGTCATGAAATGGAGTTAATCATATATACTTAGGTATGCAACTCTATGGTCTTTGTATTCACATGAATCGAACTTGAGACCTTTCACAAATTAAGTGAAGCATATACGTGACAGCTTAATTAAATATGAAGTAACTAATATTGTTATTAGAGGCAAGTCACACTAAACCGAAGACTTTCTTTTTCAAGCATCTAATTACGCAAATCGTTATCGAATACATATTAATGCTTTCGAATTAACCGTCTCACCTCACACATGTCATCTTCAAAGAAGTTATATAAGTGAGGCCACCATATCACGTAGTCTTTAATTAAAAATTCTTTCTGTATCGAAACCAAACTCTTCGACAATTGACAAAAATGATAGTCTTTCTTACACGCAAAGAATTTGTGGCTCGTGCAATGCCATATTGCTTTTAGTTAATTACAGAAATAGAAGATATATATTAAGTAGACTTGATGATGTAAGTTGAAGTATGGAGGAGAATAGTAGGTTTCTGGTGTGCGATGGATATCAGCCATCATTGAAACCTTGAAAGGGAGAGAGCTTGAAATATAGGGTGTGAGAAAAAGACATCCCATAAAAAGCTATTGGCCAAACAGAGACAAAAGGCACAGCTGGAGCCTGTAAGGAGGCTTGTGGGGTTTATTTTGTCTTTCTGCAATTTTGTTTGTGACACAACTTCCAATAATCCAAATTATGCAGTGGTGTCCATGTCATGGCTTCAGGCTTCAGTTTGGTACTTTTCCACTTTGGTTGATTAAATCAGCAATCACCCAATAATAATTGTTGTTCCTTATTCAATAAATAAGAGCAAAGTTGATCACTTTACCAACAAGAAAACATCATTGTACGTTTGAATCATCTTCACTTTCTTTCATAAAAATTATTGGGTCTTGAACCATATGTAAGATCTTCATCTTCTTCCATGGACATGTCCCTTTCAGAATCCCACTCATTTTACCATCTTCATTCACCCAATTATGATGAATGAGTATGTTTTTGAGTAGTTGTTAAGATTATACATACATACAATTATGGCTTGCGAAATGCACGTAATCACTAGAAGGTAAGAAGCATAAGATGGGCACTGTTAACGACTCCTTATTTAATTATGATTTTAGTTACTTACTAGTTTATTTAGTTTTGCTGACATAAAATAGTATTTCGAATGTGCAACAGTAGCTAGACATGAAAGATTTTTATTTTTTATTTGGACGTTCCACTTCCACACTCAATGGATCTTAGCTTAGGGTTTTACATTAGTTTTGTCTCTGTTTCTGTAATCTTGATGCATCATTTCATTGTGTTTTATTTCATTGTCTCATTTGCTATTCCCTAGTCCCCACAACCCACATTGGTTTTGGGCATTTTGGCGTAAGTGCAAAGTAATAATAGTTCTTGTATTTGTTTATTTATTTTTTATTACAAAAGTAATTTTTCATTTTGTTTTTTTATGAACATGCACTGAAGAAAGAACCCATTTACAAAACAGAGGAATTAATTAACACCATTATCCATTGCTTGGTCCCAAATCCAACTATGATGGCATCTATCTACCTGGGACTAAGCAATTTCATGGGCCCCACCATAGCTATAAAAAAAAAGGAAGCTAAGGTGGCAGGGGAATTGAGGAGTCACTGTCCGACACGTGGAAGGTGATGCCAGCATGGAAAAGTACTGTTTTTCCCAGCTGGCATTTTGAGATTATTGAGGAAAAATGTTTTTTTGCCCTTATTTTTGGGGAGTTGGGTGGGTTTGTGTAGAAGAAGGTGTAGGTCTCTCGATCCCTATTGGTCTAGTTTTAGGAGGGAGGGACAGAATCCAACCCAGGCTGTTGGTTTGGGGAGAGGGAAAGAGTCACATGGCGGCCTTTGTTTGTGTTATTGTGACAGCTGGCTCCACTACAACAAGACACGCATTCTGCTCGAGATGTAAGTCGTAAGACATTGTCCACCTCCCTCCCCTAATAATTCTATTCTATTCCATCCTTTTCAAATTTTCAAATTTTCTTTTATTGACCCAACTACCCACCAATGTACATGTAATAATAATAAGAATAGTTCTACCAAGTTTCAAATTATTGCACTGCTTAAATTCAGCCGAAGATAAATTATTCATACCATAAAATTTATGGTTGATTTTTTTTTCCAGATATGATCTTAAAAAGGAAGCTTTGAATATAAGCGGTTTCGATCATCAAACCACTTCTCTGGGATGAGAATCATATGAGAAATATAGCTAGCATTTCCTTTTTTAGGAATTTAACCACTATTAATCCTTTCCAAATTCTTAAAAAGAAAGCTTTGAAGATAAGCGGTTTTGATCATCAAACCCACTTTACTGGGATGAGAATCATACGAGAAATATAGCTACCATTCCCCTTTTGGGAAATTTAATATCAAATAAAATCAAACTTACCACAAACAACTAGAAATCAAACTTACCACAATAGATATTAATCTCTCGTCTATTTAAATCGAACTTAAAACCAACTCCAATCAATAGAAACAACCATCACTATATCAAATGTTGATATTCTTTGTATTATCTTTTATCTCTCTTTTATATAAGATATTAATTTCACGCATTATGTCATAGTTGATATCTTAATTATAATGTAAAATTATGCAAAACATAAACTAACTATTAAAATAAAAAATAAAAAAAAAAATTAAACTCCATTCTGCTCTTCTTCTTAAAATACCTAAAAAAAAAAAAAAAAAAAAAAAAAAAAAAAAAAAAAAAAAAAAAAAGTAAGATAATATATAATGAATGATGAGAAAAAAATATTTATGATTAAACCTTATATTAGTTAATTTAATTATATTAATTATATTAAAAAAAAAATAAAATGAAAGTAGGTAGCTGGCATCTATTGGAATTGCCATGTAAAGCACCCATAATACAGAGAGATGACATTGTATATGATCATTGGTTGGTATTTTGATATAAAATAGTAATGGTTTATCAGATTCCTCCAAGAAAAAATTATAAAGAAAAAGAAAGAAACCCAAAGTTAGGGACAGAATATTATTATTTATTACTTCACATCCCACTAAGACATGACTATAAATAAACCGGAAGCTTCTTAGTTTAAGCTCATAAAATTGTCCCAATACACACTCAACTCAACTCAACACAAACGCACAGACAGAGCTTTCCTCTTCTTTTCATAAATAAACGTAAACGCGTTCAGACTTCCGTGTTCCCGCCGCCTGTTTCAGACCATTCTCTCTCTCTCTCTCTCTCCCTCTGAATGGTCAATGTGAGAGAGTAAAGGAAGCTCATAAATACAGAAAACACGCAAACAAGATCAAATTTTTTTGTCCTCCTTTCTTTTGAAGAAGAAGAAACAGAGCTTCTCTGTCTCTCAGCCTATCCTATCAATGGCCAAGTCAAAGAACAACAACACTAATAAGCTTTCTTACATTTCAGTCCCTTCTCAGATAATCAATTCTTTGTCTTCATCTTCTTTGCAATCGCTCCTTCTTTCACCTAAGAAATCTTCAAGGAGTAAAACCAGGTACTTGAGCTGGTTCACCAACTACAGGAGCCCAAAGTTCTGGGTTTTATTTCTGTTTCTCTTTGGCTTTCTTGGTATGCTGAAGTTGGGATTCAACCTTGACCCTTTGATCCCATATTCTCCATACCCATGTACCACAAGTCAGTTACAGAACTTGGTCTCTAATGGGTATTTAAAATCACATATGGCTATTGCTTCAAATGGTGAAAACAGTCACCAAGTTGAGGTTTTCAACAGTGTGAGCCATTCACAGCCGTTGATTTCAAGTGGGAATTTGAAATCAGAGGTGGGTGTTGAAGAAGCTGAGCAAAGTGAGTTTTGGAAGCAACCGGATGGTTTGGGGTATCGGCCGTGCTTGGCCTTGAGCAATGAGTATAATAAAGCTAGTGTAGGTATTGTGAAGGATAAGACAAAATATCTGATTGTTGTTGTTTCTGGTGGGATGAACCAGCAAAGGAATCAGATTGTTGATGCTGTGGTTATTGCTAGGATTCTTGGGGCTGCTTTGGTTGTTCCCATTTTGCAAGTTAATGTTATTTGGGGAGATGAAAGGTAAAGAATGCTACAACTCACATTTTCCTAACTGAAAGGATATCTTCATTTAATGAGTTTGTGCTTTGTTGTTGTTGTTGGTTTATGGTTGATTTCTGTTGTGCTATACTGTTTAGGAGACTCAGAGTTTATTTCTGTGTCTTATTTTATGGGTGCAGTGAATTTTCTGATATCTTTGATTTGGAGCACTTCAAGAAAGTTCTTGCCAATGATGTTCGTATAGTTTCTTCACTGCCATCGACACATATAATGACAAGGCCGGTGGAGGAGAAACGGACTCCCCTTCATGCTTCACCTAATTGGATTCGGTCACGTTATCTCAAGCGGGTAAGAATCATTGCTGTCTTTGTGCTTGCTTTCAATTAAGCAACCGTGTTGTTTTTCAAAAGATTTATGTTGTTTTTCAAAACATTTGAATAAAGGAAATATGAAAGAGAGAAAAGATGCTTTGGCAGCTGTTAGTTTGTTATGTATGGAGCTTAAACTTGTTTGTGAGCCTTGTGACACAATCGATTTGGTTTTGTTTGGTTGTTTGTTTTTGCTGGTGCGTTCCTATACAAGGGTCAGCTTTCGACCTGCTGTTCTCATCTTTTAGTTTTTCCTATTGTTCCTACTATACTCTAACCATGCTGTGATCATCACACAATTGAAGAGCCGTCCAGTCCAATCCAATGCCTAAAATGTTGTACTTATTATCTAATTGTAGTAGTTGAATATGGGTGTTCTGGATAGATAAATGTCATGTGCTGCCTATCATTTTAACTAAATAAAACTAGTGACGAGTGCAAGGTTTTCTGATCTTATGCTAAAAATTATAATAATTTTGAGTTTGTTGATTTCAGTAACATGATTTTTTATTAATGATTATCTGTCGTGTCGTGTGTGGTTAGAACAAATCTCCTGTGGAATGCAAATCAGCACTACAAATTATGCTAATTCCTATTTTTCTTTGCAGATTAAAAGAGAAGGGGTTTTGCTTCTAAGAGGCTTGGATTCAAGACTCTCTAAGGATCTTCCATCTGATCTTCAAAAACTTCGATGCAAGGTATGTGCGAAATACGTCTTTAATTTCCTTTGTATATGCAAACTGACTTTGTTTCTTTTTGTTTTACCTGGTATGATGGAAAATAATTGACTACGTTTCTACTGTATTGACAGCCTTTAGATTTGTATCAGTCGTGAATAAATCTGTGACTTTGATTACAGAAATGAAAGGAGGTTCTAGTTCTAGAGACAGCTGACTCTAATCTCTTCTTTGTTTGACATCAGGTTGCCTTTCATGCATTGAGGTTTGCTCCTCCAATTTTGGGAATTGGTAACAAGCTTGCAGAGAGGATGAGCAGTAAGGGACCTTACCTTGCCCTTCATCTCAGAATGGAGAAGGATGTATGGGTGAGGACTGGTTGCCTACCTGGTTTGAGCCCTGAATATGATGAGATAGTAAACAATGAGAGGATACAGCGGCCAGAGCTCCTAACTGGAAGATCAAACATGACGTACCATGAAAGAAAACTTGCAGGTCTCTGCCCCTTGAATGCCTTGGAGGTGACCAGGTAAGAATGTTAGCCAAATATGTATTTACTTTAAGGCATTTGAACATAAACCAATTTGATATCTATTATCCTATTTGTTCTATGTATCAGAGAGTTTTTAACAGGCAAAATTTTGTGTTTTAGGTTGCTTAAAGCTCTAGGAGCTCCAAAAAATGCAAGAATATATTGGGCTGGAGGGCATCCATTTGGTGGAAAAGAAGCCTTGCTGCCATTAACAGGAGAATTTCCCCATTTTTACAATAAGGAAGATCTTGCTTTGCCCGGTGAACTAGAACCTTTTTCAAATAGAGCTTCTGTCATGGCGGCCATTGATTATATAGTTTCCGAGAATAGTGATGTCTTCATGCCGTCTCATGGGGGAAATATGGGCCATGCTATCCAGGTATAGTTTATTTGTTTCGGTCTTAACAAATAGGTAATATATGCTAGATAAAATACTTCACAAGTACAAGAAAGCACGACAATATGACCAAAGTAAATCAAGTTGAAAGAAAGTGAAAAAGAATGAAATACTTAAGGATACTTGCGGAACTGATCTGACATTGTTAAATGATATCATGAGTTGAAGGGGGCAAACGTACACATTTGGACTGAGTACCTTTGTATTTTCTAGGAAATATTTGAGAAACATATAATACAGATACTATGAAAAATGTTTTTGTGCATGCGTAAAATTCTTGAGAGGTAAATCAGCCTGGAATAAGAAAAAAGAGATGTGCCATTTGGGCCTTGTCATGAATTACTATTATTGTCACCTCTATCTTTTCCATTTGGAAGAACTTACAAATATAGGATGTATACAGCTAATAGAAAAAAGAAAATTGTGTTAAGGAAATATGCTGGGAAGACAAATAATATGAAAATGTCATATGAGTAGTTCTTTACACTTGATGGTTACCTAATTTGCTGGGGACTTCTCTTACACCAAGATTTGTATTTTCTTTCAGGGCCACCGTGCCTATGCTGGCCACAAAAAGTATATAACTCCAGACAAAAGGCATATGCTTCCATATTTTCTGAACTCTTCTCTCCCGGAAGCAGAGTTCAATAGGATCATAAAGGAATTGCACAAAGATTCATTAGGGCAGCCAGACCTCAGGACTAGCAGAGCTGGAAAAGATGTCACAAAGTATCCTGTTCCCGAGTGTATGTGCAATGATTCTCGTACTCATTCGTATCTTTGAGTTAGCTCTGCAATGGCCTGCTTCATTGACAAATTGAAACTTCTCAGAAAATCCCTTGAATTTGAGCCCGCTGGAAAGGGGTTTCTTCTGCAGGGCAATGATGGTTCATTGGATGGCCAGTTTTTAAGAGCAACAGCATCACACTCAATTTCTGAGTTTGCTCACATTTTTTCTTTCACACTCCTTCCTTTGTGGGCACATTCAAGTGAGGAAGACAAATGGATTCTTATAAGTCAATATAGTATATGGTTCTGTGGAAAGAAAAACTCTGTGAAGCTTCCCTGTCCCCTGGATTTGCTTTGGGACTTTCATAAGCAGCTGGCAGAAAGCGAAGAAGGTCCCCTAATTCTTTAATTCTTTATAGGAAATATTCTTTTAGGATAGATTTTCCCCATTTTGGTTTCTTTCATTTATTGTGCTACATCGGTGTATTATAATTTATAGAACAAGCATGTAAATAAGCATATTTCCAGTAATAATACATATATATTTTTTGCAAGCTCCCATCATGTTGGAGTTAAACACATGTTCTGGTTCTTCATGCAGCAATTGCAGCAGGTTCAATTTTCTTGTAATGCTCTCTGTACATTGATGCAAAATTCACTATATTTATTTACCTTAATTGATAAATCAAAGAAGCAATTTTTCATAACCCACTTTCCTGATTTGGGAATTAAACTGTCACATGTGACCTTTAACAGTTCTCTTTCTCACATGTAAGCTGCTAGCGGAGGGATCCCCTTACATGAATTCCAAATGTATTCACACTTTATTATCACTTCAGGGGAGTTCTGGAGGAGGCAGTCAGAGAAGTTCCATCCCTAGAGCTTGGTGAGAGTTCAAGGTAAGCATAAATATTTATTTGAGACAAAATCATATAAATTGCGATAGACACATTATGAATGCACGTAACGTCACAGATCCACGCTTACTATTAATGATAGTATCAACTGTACATGAGAACTAAACTGAATCGAACCAACTTATAGGCTGACTATCAAATAGTTGTCAAAAGTGTTCTAGATAGGAGGGTCATGGGTGTACTCGGGGCAAAGGTATTGGAGTGTGAGAAGGCAGATATTTGAAATCCAATGCTACATATAGAAATTTATACATTTCTCCACTGAATCATGTAACTCGTTATTTCTATTGGATTTCCACAGGCTGAATCATGTAACTCAGTATCTATTTTTGCATTTTCAAATCCATACAGAGACTTTATTTGATTTATTGCTCCGAAGGTCCAGTTCTTCTTTGTATTATAATTATCTATCCTTGTTTATCTTACCAAATGCAATTTCCAATCTTATTTTAGTCACTTTCATCTGGTCTCTAGTCCCATTAACATTTTACTTCTTCCACTCAACAAATTATCTGATGGCTTCAAGTTGAGTGGAACAAGAGTGGGATGGAACGAAAATAGTTTTGAACAGAACTTTTAGGCAGCCCATGTTATTCATTCATTTATTAAGAGCCAATTACTCGTACAGTTTTTAGAGCATCATCATCAAATTTAGATGGAGATGCTGTTAGGAACTCCCATTCCGGTGACCCCAGGTGTTGAGAATGGCTTCAAAAGCTCATATGGAACAACACCTGCTCCAACTCTGTTTTTCAGTTTCAAGTTGGTATTCCTCTCATCAATAATTCCTTCCAGCCTCTTCAAATTTCCATTGAACCGCTCAAATGCAGCATTTATCACAGGATTTTCAGCCCAGGATGATTCCAGTTTCTCACCAAGATACTCCTCATCAGGTGAATGATTAGATAACACATCCAAGACAGCCATCACTTTTGTTGCTTGAATCTGGGAGGGGAAGCACATCAGCAGTGCCATTTCAGGTTTCTTCAAAAAGTTCTTGAAAAACTCCTCAGACGGATCTTCAGTTGGCATATTGGTACGAGCGATTGTAGGCCTGTTTGGGAAGTATCCAGCATACATGTACTGTCCAAAGTTCACAGCTGCATGATGCCCAGCTGTTACCCAAATAATGGTTGTCAAAATGTGAATTAGATTTTCTGGGGTTTTCAAAACAGGCCACCATGGCTCATCTTTCTTGTCTGCATGGCCTTTTGTCCTAACTTCTGTCCACCAACCTTGAAGCTCCGTATCAGACTCAACAAGAGTTGGGTCTGGATAGTAGTGGTTTACATAGTCACCCACCCACTCCTTAATGGCATCCCAAAGAATGAGACCATCATTTGCAAATGGGTAGTCTTCAATTGCTAGCTTCAAGCCATGCTCAGCTGTAGGATCCTCAACTGCCATTCCCCTGAAATTAAAGCGAACAGTAATTAGCCGATGAACTTCCTTGGCGTTTCAAATGAAGTTTTTGTCTTTTAAGATTGATAGCAACTAGATTGCAAATTCTTCGTCATAAAAAAGTTGCCTGCAACAACACATGGTTTGGATCAATCTTTTATTAGTCGTATCATGTGAAATACCTTCTGATTAGATCAGCTGGCAAAGCTTCCATGTCAAAGCGCCAGAGCTGGTCATAAGCAGCAGAACTGAGCTCAATGGAGTACTTTCCAGGTGAGAAGCAGCCCTCGATGATTCCACCTGCATTGATGAGGCTTTCTCTAGCAAGAGCATTGATTTCCATTGTATACCGAAAATGAGGATGCAGAAGTCTATAGATAGGATGCATTGCACTTAATTGTCGATTAGCTGCAATTATGTATGGCTCTGTAGCACAATGAGTCCTCAGCCTGTGAAAATATAACAGTGCAAACATGTTACCAACCATGCAACACTGACATGCTACTTTCAAATCCCCATTAGAGTAGATTCTTGCTTGAACTGAAGGCATGAGCTAGAAGCATCACTTGGGCACAGATTTGCTTACCAGTGGATGACAAGCTGATGATAGCCAGCATCATGAGCACAAACATGGGCTTTAGCGAGCCTCCACATCCAGCAACCAGTGGCATCCCAGGTTGGGCTGAACACTTGCTTCCATTGTGGCTTGTCACCAACCGGTGGTCGAGTGAGTTCAATGGCAACAGGCCTCAGCGTCCCATCCTCGGTGAGGAAGAGTAGTGTCCGAGAACCATACAGTGTGGTTCCTTCAATCTCTCTTACTTTGTTCACATAAGGCATGTAAAGATCATGGTAATCCAAAATAAACATCTTCTTTCTTTTTAAAGCCTGCATTTCAAGTTCAAGCAATTGGCGTGCACAAGGACACACACAGTTTACACGATTTCAAGTTATATGCATCGATGGGGGAAAATTTTCGTCCAGTTTAAAGGTGTACAATAAGAAAAATATGGGAGAGTTGGTGTCTATTTCGTGTTACCTCATCGACAGTCATACAACCTTTGATCTCTTTCTCCACCAGTTCTGTTGTAATCAATGATTCAGGTGGGCCGTAAATCTCAGGGTCAAGTTTACTCTTCAATGGCCACTCCTGCAGGTATAAAAATACAGAATTTAGCACCACAAGAGAAAACAAGATATGCTATTAAACACCGTAATTACTTGACCAACAAGGAAGATAGACGGGAGGAAGGGAACGTAGAAGTTTGATTTTCTTACTGAAGAGAAAGAGTTGTACTTTTAAGAAAGCATACCGTGACAAGTTGTATACTGTATGGATTAAGACCAGCTAGAGTTTGCCGAGAAAATTCTTCATCTCTAAACCAAGCAAACTTATCACCTGCAAAAGACGATTAGCTTAATCAAAAGGACAAAGACAATGTGGTACTTTCTCTTACTTAAAAGAGGACACAGACATACACAGAGAGAGAGAGAGAGAGAGGAGAGGAGAGAGAGAGAGAGAGAGGAAGGCATACGGTCAATTATTTCGGGGGTCTCGAAGAGCAAAAGATCGTCTCCCCCAGCAGTAATGGTCTTTACTAGCCTTGGGATGATTGTCTGAAAAAACCCACTAGTTTTTGGCTTAGGCAATGTGACCCCTTCATTGAACAGTGAATCAATGGCTGTGAAGTATGGAAATCCTAATTCTGGATTAAGAAGCGCTGTCTCAAGCGAAGGGAGCAACGCGTGCAGCACAGATTTCAGGGTCTTTGCTGAAAATGTGAGTTGTTTGACCTCTGCAAATGCTTCATCTCTTGGTACATACACACTGCTGCTTCTTTTTTCTGATAAGGGGTCTGCATTGACATAACAATATGATACAGTCAATCGCATAGCTCTAATAGTTTCTCAACCATACAACTACACATGCTTAAGCAACATACCAAATAAACAAATGGTTCATAAAGTTAAAGTAGATATATTCCATTTTCAAAAATATTAAGCACATAGTTATTTGGGGAATTTGGTTACCTTTTTTGGTGCGTGGCCGTCCTGTTCTGCAGCGCCTGGGATATGGATGTTCTTTGCTGCCAAGGACAGGCCTGGCCAGTTCAACTTTGCTATCAGGATCTCCAAGATCATTGTATGTGTCATAATCGTAAATCCTATCGGATGTTTTTCTTTCACCCTCTCCATTTCCTCGCAAATTTTCCAGCTCTAATTCTCTTAGCCTCTTCAACCCACTCGGTGTCTCTGATGGTATGTAAGACTGCTCCATTGTTCACATAAAATAAATGAACACACATAAGGTTGAAGTATAAGTAAGAAGCTGTAACTACTAGAAATTAAAGAAAAAGTTTAAGGATGTAAACCTTGTTAGTGAAGAAGATTCTCTTCTGTGGATTCTCAAACTTGGCATGAACCCAAGAATTGCATGGAACATTAACAGAGCCATTTGGGAAGCCCTGGAGGTCGATGGTCTTGACGTAGATCTCCTTGTGGTGCTCATTCTCTACCTCAATTGCTCCAACCGCTCCAAAACCTGCTGGGATTGTGAAATTACTCTCATATATCACCTCATCATCTTTGTGGCTGGCTTTGTGCGCATACCCCTTGATCCTGTCCTTCTCCAACCCCGTCTCTACAAGAAAATCCATTTTACAAATTTATAATCAGTAAATTAATCAGTATTTCCAAAATTCTTTATTGGTTGATCATAAACATCAAATTCTTTATT